TATCAACAGAATAGGAATAAGTCCCGCCATTATATAATTCTTGGTCAGCCTGATAGCGGAGGTACTATGGAAAATTAGTAGTGTACTAGGCTGGTAACAAAAATCACCGGCAGCGCAAGCGTACCACACCAAAAGTAACCGACTATAGGTAGTTGAATCCCCTCCCTAGGATACCAAAAGAATGCAAAAAATACTTTGATAAGTTTCAGAAGTATGCCAACTTCCCACACACAAAAGCTTAGGTCTAGCAACATCAAATTGATGCTTTGGCAGCTAAAATTACTTAATCAAAGTTGAAAAATGGCCAAAAAACTATAGTTTTCCATACAGTACAAAAAGTGCTGAGACTCAATGTCACTTTTGCTCTTTGGTCAATGAACATTCTAGAAAATAAGATATATATTTGTAAAAACCTGGATGAGAAACCCCAAGGAATTCTCTTGGATATGTAATAGATTTTAAGTTTTATCAATGGAATAAAGGTAGAGTTATAATGTTGTCAACATGGATACTTTGGGTGTAAAATACACTTCTACCAATGATTTTTGTTACCAGCCTCATACTGGTACGTCCAAGCCAAGAATTAGCACCTCTTCTGGCATAGCGCCCCTGGGCCCAGAAAAAGTATAGTATTGGTGCTAATTTCTCGCTAGGTACATGCATTATGAATGAGTATGGTGGTGATAAATATTCTGAACAAGCCAGATTCAGTCAAGTATTAAAGTTGCTATCTCCACAATACACTTGCACATGCAATAGATTTACATGAAAATTTGTACGAAACTGATCAATAAGTTTCTAAGGCATATTCTCCTACTCAGTATACAATGCTTCTTGTACCTGCTGCCTTGATTCCTTACTACTGGTCACAGTTGTAACAGGATTTTGCACATGACAGGATTTTGAGTTATGGGTTTCACGCATATGACTCACTCGAGTCATATGACCTAATAGTCGGGATAAGCAAGTGTGAGGGATAAGCAAGTGTGATGCTTCGGTTTTTTTTTTTTTTTTTGTAGATCAAGGCTGGCAACTGGATTACTCCAACAACTCAAACAGTCCAGTGAGACCAATTTAGTGCAATAAAGATGTCGGAAGCTATGGAAAAGCTTGAAATGAAGAAGCGCTTAGATGCAGCAATAGAATGGCTAGGAGGGGAGCCAGATGAAAAGGCGAGTACTGCAGCTAAAATCTTTAATGTCAAACAGTCATCGATTCATATGCGCCAATACCGAGAACGCCATTAAGAGAGAAACAGTTGCGGTACTTTCAACCAGCATGGAGGGAATATTCTTATCCTTACAGGGGCTCAGGAGAAAGCAGTTTTCCGGTTCTGCCATGACCAATTAGAGATGGGACTAGGAGCGACTCCCTCCATTATTTATTTATTCAGCAATCTGCCATCTCTATCAGTAAGAACAACGTAATCCTCCCTCTCAGATCTGATTTCGGAAATGGCTCAAGAAGAATCTGACTCTTCATACCATTAAAGTAAAGTCAATCGCCTAGGCTCGTATTACAACCTATAGTGTGGAGGATCTAAAGAGCTTTTTTATTGAGTATCAGAATACTCTCACAAAGTATGGGATCAAACGTGCCAAATATATGTACAATATGAAAGAGTCTGGAGTTCGTGTTGGATGCCCTACTGGTGAAATAGTTATTGTCCCAACTCATGTGAAGGAGTTGTATACAGCAAGTTCTGAGAATTGAAAGTCAATTACTATTATTGAAACTATCTGCGCTGATGGTAGCCCTCCTCCACCTCTGTTTATGATCTACCCTGGTGAAAAGATTATGGAAAGTTGGGCGAGTGATAACCTCTTAGGAGCTGAGGTAATTGCTGTCTCTCAAACTGGATATACAAATGAGAAAATAGCTCTTGCAGGGCTTGATCACTTTATCAAGTATGTTGATGCTGGTCCTGACTAATATTGGCGCCTCCTTTTGCTCGATGGACATGTTAGCTACCACAAAGCCGACTTTATTCTCAAATGCCATAAGACCCACATTGTTCTCTTTGGATTTCCATCACATCTTACGCATGTGCTTCAGCCCCTTGATGTTGGTGCCTTCTGTCCCTGGAAACATTATCACAATAAGGCGATTCACAATGCCCTACACTCACTCGATATAGAATACACAATTTCCTTCTTCTTTAGAGACTTTAGTTTTATTCGTAAACAAATATTTCAAGTTCATACTATTAAAAATACCTTTAAAGACTCTGGGATGTATCTTGTCTCATTTAAGGCAGTATTGAAGAAGATGTGGTATTATAATGCCTAGAGAAACTCCAAAGCTGTTTCTCCCACCAGTGCATCATCCTCCTCAGATCCTGGTCCCAGCATATCAGCAAACTTCAGCCAAGCAGAGGTCCCAATTGAGGAAGGGGGGAGCTTGAGCTTCCTGTACTTCCTAGCTCTTATTTTGAGTGCCAAAAGGACATGAGTGAATGGATTGACAAAGCTGAAACCTTTAGTCCATCCTCTAAAGCCCACTTCCAACAATAGGGACAGGGTACACAGATTTGCCTTACTGAGGGACAGTTGCAAGAGGAATTCTATTGTGCTATTCAATCAAAACGCCAAGAGCAACAGAAGCATAAAACCAAATCTCAGCGAAGTATTCAGAAAGGTGGTATTATTACAGTTGAAGAAGCGAGACAGAGGACAGCAGAAAAGGAACTGAAAGAAAAAGCTGTGGCAATTAAGA